CAGCCTCTCCTTGAATATCTCCAGGGATGGGGCCTCAACCACCTCCCTGGGCAACCTGTCCCAGTGCTCCACCACCCTCACAGTGAAGAACCCTCTCCTCATCTCCAGTCTAAATCTGTTCCCCTCCAGCTTGAAGCCATTGCCCCTCGTCCTGTCACTGCAGGCCTTTCTAAACAGGCTCTCCCCAGCCTTCCTGTAGGCTCCCTTCAGGTACTGGAAGGCTGCTATTAGGTCTCCCCGGAGCCTCCTCTTCTCCAGGCTGAACAACCCCAGCTCCCTCAGCCTGTCCTCGTAGCAGAGGTGCTCCATCCCCCTGATCATCCTTGTGGCCCTCCTCTGGACCCTCTCCATCAGGTCCATGTCCTTCTTATATTGAGGGCTCCAGACCTGCACACAATACTCCAGGTGAGGTCTCACCAGAGCAGAGCAAAGTGGCAGAATCCCCTCTCTGGACCTGCTGGCAACGCATCTTTTGATGCAGCCCAGGATGTGATTGGCCTTCTGGGCTGCAGGTTCACCTGGGCCCACCTCTCCAGCCTGTCCAGGTCCTTTTGGATGACATCCCGTCCCTCTGGTGTATCGACAACACCACACAGCTTGGTATCATCCGCAAACTTGCTGATGGTGCCTTTAATCTCCCTGTCTATATCATTGATAAAAATGTTAAACAGTATTGGTCCCAGCACGGACCCTTGAGGAACACCACTTGTGACTGGTTTCCATCTGGACTTTGAGCCATTGAGTACCACCCTCTGGATGCGACCATCCAGCCAGTTCCTTATCCACTGAACAGTCCACCCATCAAATCCGTACCCCTCCAATTTGGCAAGCAGGATGTTGGGGGGGATGTGGAGATCTGTGGAACCATGCTGGTGAGTCTCCACTGAAAACACTCGGAAAGCTCCAGGATTTTCTGCACTGGACAATATTCCAAGGATTATGGCGTATGGTAGGGAGGCCTTGCAATTATTGCAGTTCACAGTGGATGATTAGATCAGTTTTGTGGCTTTCCAAAAATAAGGATGCATTTACTCTCAAAATGGGTGATCATTGTTTTACTTGAGAGAAGAGGAGGACAGCTTTCCTGACCCTAGGAACCATGGCATACACATAACACTAGATAATAAGAGGGTAATGGATATATCAGTCTCAGCAGCACCTTCTGCTTTAATTCTTTTCACAGATTAGGCTTTAGATTATCATATTATATTAGCAGTACCTATATTAAGTGTTGAAACTTGGCATGGAGGCCACTCTTGGAGCTCTGACAAACCAAATCCTGCTCAACACACTGGGAACTACAACTGATATGAAGACCCAATTCTTTCATCAATGGATTTAAATTAATAATTTGGTTTCAGAAAGAGATTAAACCTTTTTTCCCTTTCTCACACCATAAACTCGCCACGTAAATTCAGGAGAGCATTTAACTTGTTTTCACAGTAAATTTTACAGTAAGTATTGTACCTTTCATGAATCAAAAACCTGACATAGACTCTACAATTTTAGAAAGACATCTTTTGGGCTCTGATCATGCATCCCTGAACAGAGGATGGTAAGAGTGTTTTCACCAAGATGGAAATTCACAGCCTCAATTCCTAAGACACAGAAATGGCCTTGCAGAAAATGGTATATATATCTGAAACCAAAATTAAAACTTGTTTCTCTCTTTCTCCAAGAGGTGATTCTCAAAGACTGACCAGCGTATACATTCTTGAATAAGGTATGAGCAGCTGCAGGTAGTGTCTGATAGGAAAAGGAAAGTACGTGGTTATGGCCCAAAAGCCAGTGCCACATTTGGTCAGATTTTCTATCCATCCCACCAGTAGCAAGAGTGCCCTTGCAGGTACCCAAACATACAACCATCTACATCTCCAACTAACAGGGTGTGGACTGAAATATTAGGCTTTGTTAACTGAAGAGACAGACTGTAATTGCTGGTAACACTCTATGGAAGAAAGAACAGGTTGTCAGCCTGCCTAATCAGAGACATTTTGTGATTCTGTAAGTTTGTTGTTTTGGTTTTTTTCCAGTCAAATTGTGAAGTGTTGCTGCTGGCTTACAGATAATGGTCTGCGGGATTTTCAGATAAAATATGTGAAGATTGTGCCTTGCCTGGCCTTTGCCTTGCCCTTCCCTTTTCCCTTCCCTTCCCTTCCCTTCCCTTCCCTTCCCTTCCCTTCCCTTCCCTTCCCTTCCCTTCCCTTCCCATTCCCTCCTCTCCCCTCCTTCCCTCTCCCTATTTTAGCAAACTAAAACCAGTTCTCAGTTAAGAGAAGGTGGGAGGATTAAAATAGTTTGCCTTTGGGCACCTTGTAATCGCAGCTTCAAAAACATTGAGAAAAGCCCTGAATGTCAGGGAGTCAGACCATTTTGCACATGGGAGATGCCACAGATTCCTGCTGCCATTCCTTTAGCTAGAGCTTGGGATTCTCAGAGGCACCTGATGGTGACCTGGGTAAGGATCTCACTTGGGATCTCTGTAGCTTGGGTAGGGTTTTCTGTTACGAAATGTGACACAGACCGAGAAGTGCTCAAGCCAGTTTCCAGACAGCAGCACCAGAGAGATTCACAGTCATTCTTACTCCTTGAAATTTGACATTGTCGCAAAAAAAAAAAAAAAACAAACCTACTGCAAAGAACATAATGATACTTCTAGTCATTAAAAATCTATTCCTTTATTATGTGTTCAAGTTATATGCAGTCTGATGTTTCCCCAAATGTTTATAATCTGCTACTGAAGGAGGTCTGAGACATGATTCAAATAAAAAGATGCTGATGCTTCAGCAACATGTGAAGATATGAGGATTCCAGGTAATCTTCAAGTAATCCAGGCATTACAACTATATTTTTGTATGAGTAAAGTATGCTTCCAGTAGTTTATTCATAGGTATTTTGTTGTAGAACTAATGAGTAGCGCAGCTTCTGTTACCTCCCCCAAATCCCCCATTTATTCAGTGCATTATTTAGCATTAGAGCTGGGGTTGTTCAGCCTGGAGAAGACAAGGCTCCGGGGAGACCTTAGAGCCCCTTCCAATATCTGAAGGGAGCTCCAGGAGAGCTGGGGAGGGACTCTTTGTCAGGGAGTGCAGTGACAGGACAAGGGGTAATGGTTTTAAATTGGAAAAGAAGAAATTTAGACTAGATACTAGAAAGAAATTCTTTCCTGTGAGGGTGGTGAGACACTGGAACAGGTTGCCCAGAGAAGCTGTGGCTGCTCCATCCCTGGAGGGGTTCAAGGCCAGGCTGGATGGGGCTTGGAGCAACCTGGTCTGGTGGGAGGTGTCCCTGCTGTTAGATCTATAATATTAAGAGGCCATTAATTTGGGCATTGGGGTACCTCTTACCATGCCAGGGAAAGGAGCAAAAAGCAAGGAAATATGCAACCAGACATCTCTCAGGTAGTTACGGTGGAAAACTAACACCAGTTCTGCAGACAGGACCTGCAGAACCAGACTTGAGCTCTTGTTGCTCTGGCAGATATTCCAGAAAGGATTTGGCTGTCGCTGGGGTTTCCAAACATGTCTGTGATATTTTCCATAGTTTGGCACACACGTGAGGTTTTCACTATAACCTGATACCTTGGTGATGGCAGTTCACAGTCTGACACCATGTGACATACCTCTTTTGTACTCAGATACACGCTGGGTATCTCAAGCACCAAAAAGTTGCAGGTTCCTCATACGTGTAGTAGAATTTTTCCATCCCCTCATATTCTTTTCTGATATTAAAATAAAATTGACAAGTCCATATCCACTCTCCGTCTCATTCAAGTGAGAAGCCCCATTATCTTCAGCAGGGCTAATGACATTTAGAAACTGTGATGTGGGGAGGCTTTTCACTGAATTTCACTGATTTTTAGAGTTGGAGGGGACCATAGAGATCATCTAGTCCAACTCCCCTGCTGAAGCAGGACTGCCCAGAGCTTGTCAGAGCATGTTACTCAGGAGCATCCAGGTGGGTCTTGAAAATCTCCAAAGAAGGGGACTCCACACCCTCCCTGGGCAGCCTGTTCCAGGGCTCTGTCACCCTCACCGTGAAGTAGTTTTCCCTCATATTTGAGTGGAACCCTTTATGTTCCAACTTGTGCCCGTTGTCCCTCGTCCTCTCACTGGGAACCACTGAAAAGAGTCTGGCTCCCTCCTCCTTCAAACCACCCTTTAGGTACTTATAGGCATTGATAAGGTCTCCCCTCAGCCTTCTCTTCTCCAGACTAAAGAGTCCCAGCTCTCTCAGCCTTTCCTCATCAGGGAGATGCTCCAATCTTTGAATCATCTTCGTTGCCCTTCGCTGGACTCTTTCTAGTAGCTCCTTCTCCCTCTTGAACTGGGGAGCCCAGAACTGGATGCAATAACTTAAAATTAATACTTAAAATATTGCCTATGTTTTTCCCTGTGTTACATCCCATGAGAACATTCCCTGACCTTTAGAGATAACAAGATCCGATGAGGCAGTACAACACTGTATTGTTGCACCTGAACAGATACACAGAGAAGTCCCATCGAGATCAGCCAACTAAGCATCAGAGGAGGATGTGATGTGCTTGCTCAACACAACTCGTGAAATACTGACTAGTTCTACATTCGCTTCTTTGTCAGCTGATGTCAGGCAAGAATATTCACAGAAGCAGAGCTCATGGGCAAGTCTCAACTCTGGCAAAATGGCTTCCTTTCCAAAGACCCAGAAGTGGTGTACAGGACTGCCCTACGAATGGATGACCCTGAATGATTCTATGATTATATGATTCTATGATAAGCACAAGGCCTGTTTCAAACATTTAACACTCCTGATGCTCACACCTTCTTTGTTATCTTTCATGTGCAGAGAGGAGGTGAAGATCTCCAAAGATAGGGCACTGGCAATAAATCACCTCATTTTTCACATCACTTGTATTTACAGTGTTTTGACATAGAATCATAGAATCATAGAATCATTGAGGTTGGAAGAGACCCTTGGGAGCATCGAGTCCAACCATCTCCCCTACTCTACAAAGTCCTCCCCTACACCATGTCCCTCAGCACTGCATCTAAACGGCCCTTAAACACAGCCAGGGATGGGGACTCCCCCCCCTCCCTGGGCAGCCTGTTCCAATGCCCGACCACTCTTTGGGTGAAAAATTCCTTCCTAATGTTCAGTCTAAACCTCCCCTGTTGGAGCTTGAAGCCGTTCCCTCTCGTTCTGTCACTAATTACCTGGGAGAAGAGACCAGCACCAACCTCTCTACAGTGTCCTTTCAAGTAGCTGTAGAGAGTGATAAGGTCTCCCCTCAGCCTCCTCTTCCTCACACTAAACAGCCCCAACTCCCTCAGCTGCTCCTCATACGATTTGTTTTCCAGCCCCCTCACCAGCTCCGTTGCCCTCCTCTGCACTCGCTCCAGCACCTCCAGATCTCTCTTGGATTGAGGTGCCCAAAACTGGACACAACACTCGAGGTGTGGCCTCCCCAGTGCTGAGTACAGGGGCACAATCACCTCCCTATAAAACAGACATAAATCTGTGAGGCAGAAAACAGAGACTTCTCAAATCATGTTTTATATTATATCATCAAAATCTTTATGATCATTATGCATTATGGGAAGTAAAACTCCATATTTAACCTTTATTGAACCTAGCCTGGTTGTGACCAGCTGATTATAATGTTGGGTTTTAATGTTAAAATGAACAGCAGAAAAATAATATCAAAATTTCCAATATTTTCAGATCTAAACACCAATGCTGCTGTTTTCCTTGCTCCATTTCATTTCAGAATTGCTCTTCTTACTTTTTTCTCCCCAAAATTTTAGCTTCTCTTCTAGCAGTCCCAACATGTCCCTCGATTAGATTTTATTCTTTTCTCAAACTAAATGTTATCATACCATCATTCCTCATTTCTTGGGATGTTACCACTTGGCATTACTGTATGGGATTGTGTTCTTAGGCATCACCTTTTGTTCAAGGTAGAAATCCTTACTATTCCTTTCTTTCATGTTCCTCTGCCTTTGTTTGTATTCCCAGGCGAATGATGTATAGCAGGAATATTCAAAATTGCAAGTTCATTTAGCCAGTTTTGCAAATCCCAACCATTTCTTTCTTCCTTCCCATTCAAATGCCAAGAACATAGAAATGCTGTCAGTTGAGAAGGGGCTGCTTTCTTTATTGACTATGATGTGTCTGGACCTGAAATAAAGGGAGGTAAGTCAATTACGTAGTTGAAAGTTCATAAACCTCTTAGCAGTGATCCTGTTCCTGCTTGAAATGCTCTGACCTTTGCTATCATGTTTCTTCTGGAAGTTGCCTTATTAGATAACTGGCTGCTTTGAATTCCCCGATGGTTTAAATGAAACAAGCAAAGGACTGCAAAGGACCTGTGACCTCTTGGTCTATCTAGTTTCTACTTAAATTGACTGATTTGGTCACTCAGCTAATGATAGCTCCTGCAGTAAGTTGGTGTGGATGTTGATATTCCTAATAGTCTTCATTAAAAGTGGGTAAAGAAGCTCTCAGTTCAAAAATAATAAGCTTCAGAAAGAGTATCTGAAGAGATACTTGTAGAGATACCCCAGGAAAAATATTGTAGGTACCTGTATATACAGTTAAAAGTGTCATGTCTTGATTTAGTGCCCATTTAGTGATAAACACAAAACCAGAGGGACAGACAAACAGACAAACACTCTGTCAGTGCTGCCCCATGGTGACCAACCAGCCCTTCCACGCTTCCTTACTGCTTTGGTATTGACTACTCTTGTGTACATATTATGTGAAGGATAACACCGTTGGGCCATTCATGAATAATTCATTTTGCAGCGAATCAGGGTAAAATCCACTGCGCCCAAACTTCAGAAGCCTCTGTGACCTGGGAGAATCGTCCCTGGAAATGGTTGCTCTGGCCTGGCTTCCAAACAAATGCCTGAGCAGCAAAACCACTGAAGCTTTGTGTCCTCCACAGCTTTGCCTGGAGGTGCAGTCCCTCGGAGGAAGCCCTTCCCCAGAGGGGACAGGCATGGGTCTCCTCCCTTCTTCTTGACCCCTCCATCCAACCTGCAGGAAATAAAAACTTTGAGACAACTTCTTCCTTTATCAAATTTGGCCAATAGATTCAAACATGTCTGGGGGGGGGCTGGCTGCCACATACGGATGTGCACAAGGACATGCTGTTTTGGTTAACAAAACAACTTCCCTTGTGAAGCTTTAAGATCAAAATGGCCTTTATAGAGAAATATGAGGCAGTCCACCTGAAATGTCATGATTGCAGAAATGTTTCTGTCTCTTATAAGGAGAAATGGACACTCTCTGAGCTTACTCTCTTGCTAAAAATTATTAATTCAAATTGTAATTATACAGGTTTTCTAGATATGAGCTGAAGACAAAGCATGAGATAATGCATTTAATTGATGGCGTATAATAAAGAGTGAGCTTGTTTTAGTGATTCTTGTTTGAAACTGGTAAGTTCCTGATATTTGCTATTGAGATTTTAAAATCGCTCTCATTTTGCCCCTGTCTGGTTCTCTTGTAAGGAAATCAAAATAAAGGCATTCTTTAGAAGAGACTCTGATAATAGGCAGATATTTCTAGACCAGCATTTCAGCAGCTGACACTTTCCCATATACATTTTTTTTCATAACAAAAAATAATAAAACCAAGGCAAATTCTTAGCTGAGGCACATAACTACAGCAATATGAAAGAGCAAGTGTGATGGAAATGATTCGTTTCTTGTGAAGGTCACCTATTTTTTACTTTCTCATAAAAATATTTATCCTAACTATTTGCTTCTGTGTAAGGCCATTAAGAAAGAGGAATGAAGCTCAGGAGCCACGCTCTCCCCTTTTACAAGCACTAACGGGGTGCGGTTTGACCCTCCAATCTGACAGACCAGCTCTTTTATAGCTTTTTACTCATGACATTGGTGTGGGAGGTTTCTGAGGCCAGAGCCGAATGCGTCTCAGCAGCTGTTCTGCTAGGGATCACTTATGATCTTTGTGTGAAAAAGGTGATTCACTAGCAGATTAACTGTATATTTGCTCTACATACAAGCCACATAACTGACATATATTCCTCTGTTTATTTTGGCAGGCCTATGAAGAGATACAGATGGGTTTCACCTCAGATATTTCCGTGTCTTGCTCTGTCCAGCCAGGCCAGGATGTGTTTCATAGAACCATAGAATGGTCAGAGTTGGAAGGGACCTTAAAGATCATCCAGTTCCAACCCCCCTGCCCTGGGCAGGGACACCTCCCACCAGACCAGGTTGCTCCAAGCCCCATCCAGCCTGGCCTTGAACCCCTCCAGGGATGGGGCAGCCACAGCTTCTCTGGGCAGCTTGTTCCAGTGTCTCACCACCCTCACTGCAAAGAATTTCTTTCTGGTATCTAATCTAAATCTCCCCTCTTCCAATTTAAAACCATTACCCCTTGTCCTGTCACTGCACCCCCTGACAAAGAGTCCCTCCCCATCACTCCTGTAGCCCCTTCAGGTACTGGAAGGCTGCTCTAAGGTCTCCCCGGAGCCCTCTCTTCTCCTGGCTGAACAACCCCAGCTCTCTCAGCCTGTCCTCACAGCAGAGGTGCTCCAAACCTCTGATCATCTTCGTGGCCCTCCGCTGGACCCGTTCCAACAGGTCCATGTCCTTCCTGTGTTGAGGACTCCAGAGCTGGACACAGAGCTCCAGGTGGGGTCTCACGAGCGCAGAGCAGAGGGGCAGAATCACCTCCTGCTGGCCACGCTTCTCTTGATGCAGCCCAGGATGGGGATGGCTTTCTGGGCTGCCAGCACACATTGCCGGCTCCCACAGTATCTTCATGTAGTATAACATCGCCCTCAGACTAACATTGGTATGAGTCTTCCATTGTGAAATCATTCACCCCAAGAGCAGAATCCGATGGTTCAAGCCACCAAGGTACTTCATGGCCTTTTCTTCTTTTCATCTGGAAGCTGGAACACAGAAACTTCTCCCCGGAGAAGACCTGCAGAGTCACGCCAATGCTTGGCCCAAGGAATGACTTACAATAAGCAGCCACTGAGCATAATGAGCACAGCATCTCTGGGAACTGGGACATGGGTCTCCTCACGTCCATCCGAAATTCCCAACAGGTAGGCTGCCTGTCCTGGTAAGGGAGTTGAGCTTCCTTTTTTTCCTTCTCTCTCTAGCTGCCTGAATACTTCAAATTTTTCTTCAGGAACTCCTCAGCTTCAATTCTTGGAGGCCAGAGAATCTCTCAGGACCCAGTTATCAGCATATTAACCTTGGCTGGCAGAAGATTTTAGTCCGAACACCCTCTGGCTGGACAACCTCAAGGTCTCACACACGCACAGTGCCCCAGCAGTCCTTCTAAAGGACAGTGGCAAAACCTGCATTTGGAGAAGGTGTTTTTTTTCTGGACTTTTTAATTAGGTTTTCTGAACAAGATGCTCACTGTGTGGCTTCTTCTGGGGTCTAGCAGGAAATATGGCGAAGTTCTGAGTCTAGGGTGTTGTTGCCCACTGTTGAAATTTTAGGTGTCAGGGTAACTGTCGGTCCAGATATGAAGGCCTCTCTATTTGCTCTGCGACATCCTTTTAATTTAAATTTTGTACTTGGGCACCTATGTTTGACTCAGCTTTGTTTGGTGTTAAGGTATAAAGAACAAATACGTGAGAAGAAAATTTATCTTTGAGCTGATTGGAAACGATGTCTCCTCACACTGGGATTGCAAGTGTCTTTGTTTCAAGCTACTGCAAGCTCCAGGCTTATGGAATCTTACAGCCTGTGTGTATAGGTGGGATGTGCATTTTGAATTGTTTGCATCATGAAGATGAATAAAATCTAGATACTAGCACCCGATTGCTTAGTGGGCCATAACCTCTGTCTCCTGAGCGCCGCCCAAGTGAAGGCCCTAAAGCAGAACCGCCATGTCAGGGTTTCTGGGGCTGTTCTCCTCCTCCACGCCCCAGTGTGAACTCCGAACGTGCAATGGCTTCCAAGCATTTCCCCGCTGTGATCACTTGTCTAAAATGGCTTCTCCATAACAACAACATAAAGAGGGGTTAGTTTCACCCGTAGAAATGTGGGGTTTTTGCTCTTCTGTTCTCAGGTTCTTCAGGCGCGCGCTACATCGAGTGGTTTCCCATAGCAAGTAGGGAATGTGGATTCCCTTTCTTCTTACCAGCTGTGGTAGAATTGTCTCAGTTCTGATATATTTCAGCCTTCTGCATTCAAAAAAGTAGGGAGGGCACAGGAATTGCCATACTGTTTTGAAAAAGATTACTTTTATGTTTGCATATAAATTCTATATGCATCCTAACAGATGTTGCACTGAAGATCAGCAAATACGTTCCCTCTGACAGAAAATACAGATCCCGACAAGTTTTTGGAATAAATTAGAACTGGTGATCATTTTTTAAGTTTAGAAGAAGTTATTTTTCTATTAGCCTCAGTAAGTGTCACGGTCTTAAGCCTGTATTGACAAATCAGTGGGTGCTAAGGACTGTGGAGGAGTGACAGCTCTGCTTGCACTCCTGG